ACAACAAGCCGGTCAAGAAGTAACGAACTTTTGAGAAATTTTAAAAAGTAAGTCGAAAAAAATTTGGAAAAAAAAAGATAAACCAAAATTTTTCGAAAACCAACGAAAACTAGGGGCTCAGCTAGTACCTGTATGATACTTTTTGAATTTTTACTGATGCGGGATGAAATGGGTAATTTCAGAAACTGGACTTTGCCCAAAACGGTCATTAGAAAAATGATTTTTCCGAGTTGTAGCTTTTTGTAAAAGAAAACATAGGCGTTTCCGCTTATGCAGCAAAACTACAGATAAACTTTTTTCGATTGAACCTAGAGCCTCAATTTTGGGAGCATAGTTGTCGAGATAAGTAAAATAATTTCAAAAAAAAATGGAAAGAAACTGAAACTTCCGGGGGCCATAACTTTTTGTGCAAAAATTTGCCCATAATCAGCTAATCAGGGGAGCTTCCCATAATCCGCTACTTCAACTGAGCCCAATATTTCAGGTTTGAGAGGATAAATCTCGAGAAAAGTATAAAAAAAATCAAGTTTCCATAACCGATCAAAAAAAATCAAAACTTATATTTCTCCGAGGTCCATGACTTATTTTGCAAAAAATTGCACCGTAGCCGCTCTCACAGGGGAGCTTCACGCAGCCATTTTTATCCTTTGGAAATTGGTTGTAAGAAAAACAACTAAAGTCCAAAATTATGGGTCAAGATACTCCAGACTTTTTCGAAGGCTGTAGACAGCGAGGTACAGTTAAAGACACTGGATGATCATACATGCACAAAAAGAGCAAGCAGCCTTTCCAAAGATACCCAATTTTCGAAAATCGCCAGTGTAGCTTTCAAGCAAAACTAAATTTGTTGCAAAAAGTGAACAAAAAACTTCCGAAGCTTCTCAGAAAAACTAAAATAATATAAAAAAACACAGTTCCATACATTATCATAAAGTTCGAAAGCGACAGTGTTACCTAAGGTGCAAAACCAACCGTTCTACAAAAATATTTTGGCCAAAAAAATTGCGAACTAACTCATGACTTCAATTACCTTCGCCAAAAGGAATGTGACAAGAACAACAAGCCGGTCAAGAAGTAACGAACTTTTGAGAAATTTTAAAAAGTAAGTCGAAAAAAATTTGGAAAAAAATAGATAAACCAAAATTTTTCGAAAACCAACAAAACTAGGGGCTCAGCTAGTACCTGTATGATATTTTTTGAATTTTTACTGATGCGGGATGAAATGGGTAATTTCAGAAACTGGACTTTGCCCAAAACGGTCATTAGAAAAATGATTTTTCCGAGAGTTGTAGCTTTTTGTAAAAGAAAACATAGGCGTTTCCGCTTATGCAGCAAAACTACAGATAACCTTTTTTCGATTGAACCCAGAGCCTCAATTTTGGGAGCGTAGTTGTCGAGATAAGTAAAATAATTTCAAAAAAAATGGAAAGAAACTGAAACTTCCGGGGGCCATAACTTTTTGTGCATAATCAGCTAATCAGGGGAGCTTCCCATAATCCGCTACTTCAACTGAGCCCAATATTTCAGGTTTGAGAGGATAAATCTCGAGAAAAGTATTAAAAAAATCAAGTTTCCATAACCGATCAAAAAAAATCAAAACTTAGATTTCTCCAAGGTCCATGACTTATTTTGCAAAAAATTGCGCCGTAGCCGCGCTCACAGGGGAGCTTCACGCAGCCATTTTTATCCTTTGGAAATTGGTTGTAAGCAAAACAACTAAAGTCCAAAATTATGGGTCAAGATACTCCAGACTTTTTCGAAGGCTGTAGACAGCGAGGTACAGTTAAAGAGACTGGATGATCATACATGCACAAAAAGAGCAAGCAGCCTTTCCAAAGATACCCAATTTTCGAAAATCGCCAGTGTAGCTTTCAAGCAAAACTAAATTTGTTGCAAAAAGTGAACAAAAAACTTCCAAAGCTTCTCAGAAAAACTAAAATAATATAAAAAAAACAGTTCCATACATTATCATAAAGTTCGAAAGCGACAGTGTTACCTAAGGTGCAAAACCAACCGTTCTACCAAAAAAGATTTTGGTCAAAAAAATTGCGAACTAACTCATGACTTCAATTACCTTCGCCAAAAGGAATGTGACAAGAACAACAAGCCGGTCAAGAAGTAACGAACTTTTGAGAAATTTTAAAAAGTAAGTCGAAAAAAATTTCGAAAAAAATAGATTAACCAAATTTTTTCGAAAACCAAAGAAAACTAGGGGCTCAGCTAGTACCTGTATGATATTTTTTGAATTTTTACTGATGCGGGATGAAATGGGTAATTTCAGAAACTGGACTTTGCCCAAAACGGTCATTAGAAAAATGATTTTTCCGAGAGTTGTAGCTTTTTGTATAAGAAAACATAGGCGTTTCCGCTTATGCAGCAAAACTAGAGATAACCTTTTTTCGATTGAACCCAGAGCCTCAATTTTGGGAGCGTAGTTGTCGAGATAAGTAAAATATTTTCAAAAAAAATGGAAAGAAACTGAAATTTCCGGGGGCCATAACTTTTTGTGCAAAAATTTGTGCATAATCAGCTAATCAGGGGAGCTTTGCATAATCCTCTACTTCAACTGAGCCCAATATTTCAGGTTTGAGAGGATAAATCTCGAAAAAAGTATAAAAAAATCAAGTTTCCATAATCGATCAAAAAAATCAAAACTTAGATTTCTCCGAGGTCCGTGACTTATTTTGCAAAAAATTTCGGCGTAGCCGCTCTCACAGGGGAGCTTCACGCAGCCATTTTTATCCTTTGGAAATTGGTTGTTAGCAAAACAACTAAAGTCCAAAATTATGGGTCAATTAAAGAGTACAGTTAAAGAGACTGGATGATCATACATGCACAAAAAGAGCAAGCAGCCTTTCCAAAGATACCCAATTTTCGAAAATCGCCAGTGTAGCTTTCAAGCAAAACTAAATTTGTTGCAAAAAGTGAACAAAAAACTTCCGAAGCTTCTCAGAAAAACTAAAATAATATAAAAAAAACACAGTTCCATACATTATCATAAAGTTCGAAAGCGACAGTGTTACCTAAGGTGCAAAACCAACCGTTCTACAAAAATATTTTGGCCAAAAAAATTGCGAACTAACTCATGACTTCAATTACCTTCGCCAAAAGGAATGTAACAAGAACAACAAGCCGGTCAAGAAGTAACGAACTTTTGAGAAGAGAAAAAATTCGAAAAAAAAACCAAAAAAGTCGGCAAATTGATTTTTAAAACTCTAAATAACTTGTCGAGGTTCAATCAGGATCAAAAAAATTGCTTGAAACAAATAATAAATATTATGTAATTAAGCCGACAGAATTAAGCTCGCCGCTTAATAAGCTGAAAAACATCCGAAATAATTTCAGTACAAAAATTATATAGAAAAATCTTGCATCAGCCATTTTCAAAGCGAGCTCTAGCCCTATATAGGCGAAAAACGTAAGATGCATATTTGCAAGTTTCCCATTTCAAACGTGCTTCGAAAAATACCCGTTTGTGAACAAGCTAATAACAGGGGGAAAAATTCTAGTACCCGTTTGCAATACCCTTGCTTATCACAAGGATAATTATAATCGATTATTATCCTTGTAAAAACATATGAAAATACTTTGAGCTACATGAGCTTATTTTAACCCTTATCCTGTCTTTTATGTTTCGGTCTTTTATGTTTCAAACAATCCAAACAAGACATAGAAAACTTTTATCTCGTATAGAGAAAACTAAAGAAGGAATAAATGTACTCAAAAAATGGTGAAACTTCACATCGCTTCTCAAAACTGGGCAATTTGAGCTTCCCAGGATCAAGCTTAACAGATTAAAACGAGACTAGAAGATTGGAAAAAAGTATTGAAAAACAGCCAAAAAACATTCACCCTTTGTAACAACTTATCTCCAAGCCCTATTCACTAAGGTACGCCGCCAAAAAAGTTAACATTGCTAACTTTTTAGGTTTTAGTTTTAGCTATTGACAATTTGAATACGGAGCAAATCTTCGCCCCACTATCGATAATACACATACATAGCATGACAAACTAAGAGAAAAAAAGTCGAAAAGAAAGCTATGAAAAACTCTTCTTAAAAAAATTTTGTAGAAAATGTCGAAAAAAAAATGATATAATATTTTCCTAAATTTGTCTGAATTTTGTATTGAATTCAAAATCTTTTCAAGAATACGAGAAAGAAGTGACAATTGATAAAGATAGTTGCAAGTTATAAAGATAATTGCAAGAATAGAAATAACATTTCAAAGGATTAGTTTGATCGTTTTGAAAAACAATGGAATCTAAGGGCACAAGAACTGTAAAACAGACGAGGACCAAAGGAAATGAAATCTGACAACTAAAATCCACTTTCAAAATTAAAAATCGATCACGTTTTTTGTGACCTTTGCTGTTCGATAGCGATGTTTGCCTTCCTTTCAATAAAGGAAATGAAGTGAACTTAGAAAGAATCAAAAGTCAAGCCGTAAGAAAACACATTTTAAAACTTTTTCCTCTTTAAAAAAGCAAGTTCAATGTCCTACAGGTTTTTAAAAATTGTTCACGGAAAGTCTTTTCTCCGATTACAGGACATTTGCTCCGTTAAATACAAACAGGAAATAGATCTATCAACCGATTATAATAATATCTGGCAACCGAGCAAGTATTAAAATGTTCTACAGCTTGCACGTACTTCAATCCTAGATTCTGAATTCTGCTATAAAAAAAACATTGGCGATAACTTCATTTTGAGAAAACGACTTTCTCCTGAATCTAAGTTTAACAAACGCCATTGAATCATTTCCGCTGTTCAAGTCATTGATTCCTTCTCAGTTATAAAAACCCTCCCGGTATTCCTATGGCAGATGGAATCCACTGACCATAACAAATAAGCCAGTGTACAAAAGATCGAAAATAAAACGATCTGTAACAAAGTCCTCAAAAGAAATTTTAGGAAAATTAATTGGTCAACCTAGATTGCAATAGTGTACTTTGATAATAGATCTATATGAAAGATAAATACATCAAAAATTACTGCATAATTTGATAAACATTACATAACTTTGTCGGCTTGAAAAAATGGACAATTAAATCGGCACAATTTAAGTAGCTAAATCGTTTAATTAAATTCAAAAGAAAACTCAAACAGACAGAAGAACGAAATTTGAATAAAAGATGATTTGGTACAAAATTTGGGACAATCATTGCTTCTTCAAAAACGAAGCATATCAAGACAGCACCTAAAAATTGACACTAACAATTGACAATAAATAACAGATCGGCGAGCAATTTTTACAAAGAAATTACTGTCAACGAATTAATTTAGAACAAGTGGAATTAAAAACTTTAAATAATTGCTATCTAATAACTAATAAAATAAATAAAGTTGTCTTTTTAACAGTCCATTCCATCTAAATTGTCATCCTGTGAATTTGATTTTCCGTTACTTGCCGTTCCAAGAACATTTTGAACACTCTTGTGAAAAGATACCATGTGTCGAAGCAAGTTGCTTGTGGTGGTCAAGCTCTTGTTGCATAACAAGCATGTGTGACTCTCGAGGATTACGTAATCACCGAAATAGTAAATCGAACTCTTCTTAGCTGTGCCCTGATTTGTTGCCAAAACCGACTGCTGTTCACCGTTGACTCCAGAACTCCAACAGTCTGAAACTTCCGAGTTTTGTTTATCTGAGGCCCTAGTGTTCCTTGCCAGCACAGGGGGAGGATCTCCATTTGCTGAATCTGTTTCCACCTTATCCAGAGATAAGTCCAGTGAATCTGATTGACTGTCATAACTAACCCCATTCTCTTGTTTCATGGGCACGAGCTCAACCATGTCTACGTGTTTGTACAAAGCATGGTTTTGTAATTGCGACATACTATTGCACTGTCTTGGGCATAGCTTGCACGATAAGGTATCGAAATCGCAAATTTTGGAGTAATCTCTCACCTTTCTACAAGTTCGAGCCGAATCATGCATGGCTCCGTTTGCCATATTTGACTCGTGAATAAGAACTTCATTTTCATCAAATTCTTCTTCGTCTTCAAAAATAGCAGTTTTTAGTGGACTTTGTCCTGTCATGTGGCACCTGTTAAGGTGAAGAAATAGCTTTTTGCGGTCGGCGTACTGGGTCAAACAAATTTTGCATGTCAGTGTAGAAATATCTGAGATTTTTTCGTACTCCGCCAGTCGAGGGTTCACCCAAACGCGACTTGAACTCGACTGCCTGGAACTGTTTATGCTACCACAACTTTCTCCAAACTTACTCTCGCTGTCCTCTGATTCGACTCCGTTTTGTTGAACCACAAACGAATCATCATCTTGGAGATCTTCGACAATACTTCGCGCACTTTCATTTCTAGCACGAATTGCTGATTTCGTTTCATAGCTATGACTAGCCAGAGTTATTCCCGGTTCGGGTCTATCTGGCTTTGGTCTCCCGTGCTTCTTGGTCACGTGGACTTTCAGGCTAAGCTCCAGATTGAAGCGAGCACCGCATTGATTGCACTGCCAGCTGCGATTAGGATCTCGATCTGGGTTATCGCGTTTGCCATGCTTCCTCGCTCGATGCGACATCATACTGCTTTTAATTCTGAACTGCACGCCACAATCGGGACAAGGATAAAACCCAGGAGGCGAGGAACTCATATACGAGCTCCCAAGCAGCTCGTCATACTCCTTTGAGGACAAGTCAAGAACTCCGGTTCGGTTTTTGTTCAAAGGGTCTCTATCCGGATGCTTCAGTCGAATATGCTTCCTCCGTGCTTTCATTCCCGTAAACCGCACCTCGCAGAAATCGCATTGAAAAGGTTTCATGGGCTGTGAGTATGCGTTTTGAACGGGTTCTATGACTACGGTCTCTTTCTGTGTCTCGTTTACATGAACTGGTTCCGAGTTAGTCATAGAGGCGAAAGGTGAATCACTAGCAATTACGTCATTGATAGATCCTGCGTATGATGAATGCTTTTCCTTCTTGTGACGCCAGAGCGAACTTTTCCACTGAAACTGGTGACCACATATTTTGCACTTGAACGGCAATGTCAGGGGACTTTTGGCGCCAATGCACTTCGCATTCAGTGCGCTCCTGTGGAATAGTCTGGCATGATGAACCAGATTTTTTCGCGCACTAAATGACTTTTTACAGAGCAAACATCTCAAATGAGTGAAACTGACGACAGCTGTGAAGTTTTCAGACGTCTGTGTGTATGGCTTACTTCTGATCAGCGGGTTTTCGACGTAGCATTGCACGTTGGAGGATTTACTCCTCTGCGAATCGTCTGACTCAGCCCCATTCTCGACTTGATTTACAGTTTCGTCGCTCATATATGCCCCAGAACGCTGCCTTAACTGAGTCACAACTACGAAAAAAAAAACGATTATCAGTTATCATTCAATTGGGGCATCATTTCAATTCAACCGAAGTAATGAGATAATAATCTTACTTTGATCGAGACGAGAAGTTTGTAGCTTGTGTTCAGTAGATGAGCTGGCAGTATTAGCTAATGAAGTGGTGCTAGAGCAGTGATCGTCATTTTGTTCACTCTCAGATGGGACCAGTACAGTCCCCTCTTGGATGTTGGCCGTCTCCACGACTGAAGGAGACGTGGTCGATGATAAGATTTCTGAAAAACAAACTTTTTTTCTTGACTCACCTACCTTTGAGTTGATGCATGTTTCAAAACAACGAATACTCTTGGACGGGATTGCAAACTAATCAGGAGATCAGAGATCATTAATTTGTCTCCGTATAGGCTCATTATTCTGGATGGTTGAATATAGTTACCACATATAAGACATTTTTTCGATTGGCTGTTTTTCATTCACAAGATGATCTCACATACCAAAAAAAAATTAGCATTCAATCTTCACTACAATACTACTTTAAATAAAATCAGCCAAGAAACCCTCTTTTTTCTACATAGAAGTTAAAATACAGTTAATAGAGCTGCTAGTTATCCCAGATTGGGTTCTAATGATTTCAGCAAATCTCTCGACAGTTCAGCTTACGTACCGGTAAAAGGTATATTCATCCCAGGTCGGCTCAACTTTTCACTGGGGCAGAACTGCAGTCGATGAGTGAAGAAATTGGCCATGTCGCGAAATATATTCCGACAGGAACTAAAACGACAATATTGCGAAGTAATTGACAAAAAAATCTTTCACAAAATGACTAAATGGAGCATTACATTCGACGCGAAATCATCTGAAAAAGTTGAAAAAAAAATCTAGCTTCATGAGAAAATGCTCAAATGCCAGAAAATCAAAAATATATATTTCCGTACGACAAAAAAAAACTTTTTTGAATTCTTTTTCTGGTTCAAAGAAAATAACGGGAAAAAACCACAAAAAAAACACCTAAACCATTAGGTTTTTCGGGCTATCATAAAGCACCATTAATCAAATAATCGCAGAAATCGAGCGGAAAGTCATGCGGAGTTTCGCACCACTTGCGATACAGTACAAGAAAAACCTTCAATATTTCATTTTAAACTACTTTTGAAAAATTAACAGGCCAAGACAATAGATTGTAAAATTTGCATCGTGAGAAAATAGCCAACAGACAGTTGGAAAAGAGTCAATGAAAAGAAGTACACAGAAAAAAAGTACTGACTTTTTCTTTAAACAATCTCAACTTTCGCACAAAAAAAAAGATTGCCTTAAAGCTCTTTAAATTTCTTCAACAATTTTGATAGACACTTTTTACTTCGCTGGAAAATCTGAAAAAATCAATTCCGTTTTCGAAACTAGAAATCGATCACGTTTCTGTTCGATAGTTGAGTTTGCCTACTTTTTAACAATCTACCTTCATCGACTCTAAAAATTACAGAACAAAAAAGATACTTGCGCAGAAATCCTATACGCCACAAAAAAACAGTACCCATCAAAACACCCACACAAATTTTTTTGCTCAGCTCACTAAACGACGCAACTTGGAGCCAGTAAGCCGACATAACCTGGCCCAAACAAATTAAATCGAAAAAAGAAAAATTAAAATAAAAATTATTTGCTGAAATTACAAGCAACATGAAAAGAAAATTTTGATTAGGACGCATATTTAAAATGCTTACGTGATCAAAAAATGTCTGTTGCAGTATTTCTAACAGGAGAAACATTTCAACCCGGAAAAATTAAATTGGAGCTTCAAAAGCATCCACTCATTGCCTTCTAATTACTACATATGAACAAAGTTCAAGCTTTTTTAAAAGGGACTAGCGTTTAACGCACCTCCGGTGCTTCGAAATTTTTCGACAACTCATGAAAAACCGCATATAAGGGAAACAACATCTGCAAACTTTTAGTGTAGTCTGACTGCACCCAATTACAGGGTTGGTAATTCCGAACTTTTAATTTTAATAAATTCCCATTTCAAAAGCGTCATCTCGAAAACTTAATGGGCCTCTGGAAAAATTTGGAGGCCAGATTTGCAAGCACAGAGTCCCTGAGAGCATCCTACTATAGGGTTAGGAATTTAAAATTTTGTGAACTTAATCAAACCTAAGCTTCCCGAAAAAAAATTGAAAAAAAAAAAAACGTCTTATCTCGGAAACTATAAGGATTTGAGCATTCATATTAAAAGGCAAGATTTGAGACCCCTGGTTGTACGCTGACAAAAGGTTGTATCTTCATCAAGTTAGTAGTTTCAAATTTTTTGAATTTCTTTGTAGATAAGTTCTTTGAGAAATTTTGAAAAAATCAAAAAACGTCACATCTCGGAAAATAAAATCATTTGAGCAGTCGCGTTTAGCAGTCGCATGTGGCAAGATTTGCAACTCTTTAGAGTACCCTGACAACACCGAACTATAGAGTTGGGAGTTTCAAATTTTGAAAACTAATTAATTTAAACTTTCTGAAAAAATTGAAAAATCACAAAAAACGTCACATCTCGAAAACTACAAAAAATTGAGCAGTGATAATTGGAGGCAAGATTCGCAATCCTTGAGAGTACTTTGACGAGACCTAGCTCTAGGGTTGGGAATTTCATATTTTTAAAGAATAATAATTTAAGTTTTCTGAAAATTTTTGAAAAATTCACAAAAAACGTTATATCTCGAAAACTACAAAGAATTGAGCAGTCATACTTTGAGGCAAGATTCGCAATCTTTGAGAGTACTTTGACGAGACCTAGCTACAGGGTTGGGAATTTCAGATTTTTAAAGAATAAAAATTTAAGTTTTCTGAAAATTTTTGAAAAAATCACAAAAAACGTCATATCTCGAAAACTACAAAGAATTGAGCAGTCATATTTGGAGGCAAGATACACAATTTTTATGATTACTCTGACAGGACAACTACAGGGTTGGGAATTGCAGATTTTCAAAAATTAATAATATTTTAAGTTTTCTGAAAAATCACAAAAAACGTCATATCTCGAAAACTACAAGGATTTGAACAGTCATATTTGGAGGCAAGATTTGTAACTCCTTAGAGTACTCCGACAGCACCCAACTATAGGGTTGGGAATTTCAAGTTTTGTAAATTATTTTGTTTTTTGAAATTTCTGAACATTTTTGAAAAAATCTCAAAAATCGTCTTATCTCGTTAACTTAAATGATTCGGGCATTCCAAATTGGAGGTCAAATTCGCAACCCCTAATTCGATATTGGGCTGCTTAAATTAAACTCGGTAAAAATAACCACTAAAATCAAATTGGAAAATCGAAAAAAAATTCTTAACCATTGCAATATACGATACAGCCTAAACATGCAAAAATAATACGTTGAAAAAGCTTAAACATGGTGAGATAGTGAAGCCCGCATTTAAATATATAATAGATAACCGGTTACTGTGCAAGTAGCACAAAAGTTCCGACCATAGTCTTCAAATTTTTTTTTTCAAATTAGTGTGGTTTTTCTGCGTGGTGTCTGACAAAAAAATTAGAACTTAGGCTTATTCAACCTTCATAGTAAAATAGGCCAATTGGAAAATAGTTCTTGAAGAAAATGACTAGAAAAACAAGACATCGTTTAAAAAATTCAAAAACAAACGTTCATTGAATTTTTCAAATTTTTTAGCAACAATTTTTTCAATTTTGAAGTTTTTTTCCACAAATTGTCGCTAAAAAACTCCAAGAACTAACTTTCCTTGAATATAACTAAGTTTTCACGGCTTAAACAGCATAAATACGCTTTTGTAAAATTTCTAACTGGTTCAAACTGTTTTTTTTCTCGACAGTTTTTTTAAAGTCGTTCGAAAAAATGTCGTAATTAAGTTTTTTAATGTCGTTCGAAAAACGGCTGAATGGGCTTTAATATGATATATCACTCGACCCATTCCAATTATTATAAGTGGTACCTGATTTTGCGTGGAAAAAAAAACAAAAAAACTAAAACACCCGATTACAAAGTTCCTCCCCATTTTCAAATGGTCGCAACAAAAACCTTGGATCAAAATAATCGACCGTGAATTCAGCTCATTCAAATCATTCAATTATTAGCAACGGGAAGAAAAACAACTTACATAGCCAGTAAAAAGAATGATGCCCGTTATTGGAAAAATGAGAACATAATGCTTTGGGATATAAAATATCAAAGAAACAATTTTCCAAAACTGGATTCAGGAAAGACGTTTTGAAATCTCAAGAAAATCGGTATCTTTCAGGTTTTATCTAGAATGTTCCACCAAAATTTGTTACTTTGAGTCAAAACTTAACTAAAAAACGCGTAGCACAAATATTCCACCAATTCTTTGAAATTCTTAACACAAATTAGTGAGCGTGGTTATTTTGACAAGTATAAATTGGAAACTAAGCCAAGGAAAAATGAGATGAAAATGAACCAAAATAAATTAACCGAATGTTTCTTCAAAAGGGTTTCATTCAAAACTTAATTCACATGTAATATGAACCATGTAGACTAATTTGCACGAGTAATTGTGAACCAGATATTAATTTTGAATTTAATGAAATTGAGCACTGACTTCTTGTACTCACTACCTTTAAGTCATAGTTTTCTTACAAATCTGTAAGACAAGCTGTAGTCTAGTTGTACAGTATAGTCGCCCCATTTTTAACAATTACTTTACAAAATTTCCACGATTATAACGAAAACCATTAGCAAACGCAGCTCAGTTAAATTAATTTTTCAGTCGAAAAAATGAAAGTCTAAAGCCGCTTAGTCTAAACTAAAACAAGACTGCTCGTATCAGGGCGATGCCCTGAATGTTCCGACTGCCTTTTAAGGTTTATGGAGCAGCAGTAATAACATAAACTATTAAAAGAAATAAAATGAAAATTTTTTTTCTAAAATTTGAACTTTTTTATGAAAATCATCCCCCCCTTCGCCATATAAAGTACAAAAAGATAGATTTCGTTCCTTGTAACAAATCAATTATGGCAATTAAGCTTCGTTCAACCAATTTGGAACGATTTATAAGACGGATTAAATATCCGCTTACGCGTTAATAGCGCGAATTATATCGCGCGTTAATTGTCCCAAATTGGCCAAAATGGCAATCTTTAAACCCTCACAACTTTACGAAAAATGATCACAGGTGAAATATCTTTTCAAATTTAAGCTCAGGACAACAATATCTTTTGAATGATATAAAAAAATTCCGTCAAAAATGGCTAGTTAAAAAGTCGAAATTTGTCGGAAGAAAAAAAAAACCCACCCCGAGCACAAATATTCCGTTACTTTCGTATCGAAAGTCGGAACAAAAAAGCCACTAAGCCGAAACTTATTATTCCGAAAAAAAGGCAAAAACAAAAAACCCCAAAAAAAAATCAAAAAAATGAAGACTAATAAAAAAAAGGCAAATAAACTACAGAACCAAAACATTAAAAGAAAATTCAATGTAAATTGCGCTCAGCAAAGGAAAAATACTTCTACGAAGAAACCGACAATTTTTTTGAAGCGGAGTATTTCCCATTTGAAAAAAAAAAACAGGTAATTTCAGAACCAACAACCTTCGCCGTTCCAGGCGTATTCATTACCTCCAGACAAAGTGTACAGGATACGCAGAGAAATTAGAACTCGTTTAGAACTGAACCTGATTTGCCATTTCTATTTTTGACCATTCTGAGAACAAAACTATTTAAAGGAAAACAGTCTAGTACCCGGATTCAATACCCTTGCTTATTGCAAGGGAAATCACTAAATCAAGTTTTGTTCCCTTCAAGCCACTTAAAAATAGAAGCGTGGTATATGTTTTTTTTTTCATAATAAAAGCACTGAAAGACTTTAAAAGAAAAGAGCCCATGTTTGTTAGGCTCTAAAAAATAATAACCTGCACTCTAGAAGGATCACTGAGTCGTTTTTGAGCAATTCTAACAAGGATGGCGGACATTCGGATTTCAAGAAACTCAAAAGTATTGGTAGAGTGAGAGCTTGACGACCAGGAAGAGTGATTCCCAAATCCGTAGGTGCAAAGCAATGATCATCATCAACTTCGTCTATATCATTCATACCTGGAATTACATGAACATTCTAAACAAGAACTATTCGATCTTTTCATTTTCGGTTCATCTACGATAGAAAGGTCTCTAGTAAAAAAAAAATAATTTGATCTGTTGAAAAAAGGTAAATTATAAAAGGGCCCTTCCGTTTAGGTACGGTCGTGCACAAGCTGGATAGGGCCCACACCAGCATAATATAAATACATCAATAAACAATTTTGCAGGAACTAAGTCAAGTCAGCATTTAATGCGTTGTCATTAAAGGTATTTACTTCAACCGCCCCTCCTCTATAATAGCACTAATTGATATGTTGAGCTAGGTTCTTAAAACAAGAGAACGAGCGACTGAAAAACTTTTAATTTAACATGATCGACAGGTCTCGCGTATTAAATTACGCTACGTTTGCATCCAAAAATGATTTGCATTAAATTCGTCTATTTTAAAAACTCGCAAATAGGTTGTTGTAGATAATTTCTCATACCGAATTGTTATCATCATCCAGTTCAAAAAAAAACAATACTGCTCGTTTACTTTAATAAAAATGATTAAAAAGCATGATTAAAAAGCATTTTCTTAACATTAGTCGTCATGACCATATAATTAAAAAAACAATTATTAAAGAATTTTGACCATGGACTAACGGTTTTAGAGCGCCGAGTTTTAACTAATTTGTTAAAGAAGATTAAAGAAGCATTGGAAAGCTACTGAAATTGATATGTAAGAGATCTAACGGGGAAAAGAAGACTTGAAGGAAATGACTGTAAGAAAGAAAAAAACTTGCAGCCATCATACACTTGACTTAAACAATTTGGTCACCAAGCACAGATATCGGTCTCTATGTACTTTTCTAAGATGAAATTCCATTATAGCTCCGTTTATTAACTTTGGTAGTCCAAAATCTAACTTTTGTAGCAATTTTTGTAGTCAAAACTCTAAAGTATCAAGTTTTATCTTTAATGAATCAGATCAGAAAGTATGATGTTAACCGAAGTCAATTCATTAGTCCTTCATCATATCACCCATGCAAACAAATCGTCGGAATTTCATAAAATAGGGAAAAGAAAAGTATAAGGTAAGAAAATTAGAAAGTGAGATTTTTGGAAGCAAAGCCGATCAGAATGAGAAAAATAACAATTACACAGAATGAACCGGAGTTGAAACTCGTACAGAATGTCCTCATATGATGCTATGGGTCTTTTGTAACATTCGCACGGACATACAAAACGATTCGCTAGCGTCTAAACAGAGCTTTACGTGATTTTGAACGTCTCTACTATGTCAACTCAAGCCTTATAAGTGCCAAAAAATATGTGCCATTGTCTACTGCAGGAGAACGACCAGAATTGACATTCGACCAGAATTATGCAAAAGACAGTAACGGAGGGCTAGCAGCTAACCTTCCGAATTGGCAGTTTTAGAGGATTAACAGTGTTATTCAGACGATGAGATAAATCATGAAGGCTGAAGGATTCGGAAATTCTTAAATTTTAAAAACTCGAATTGTGACGTCACACTTCCGAGAAACGTCAAAAACTGCCATTTTGGAAGAAATCCAAAATAAAAACAGAACAACGATAGAAGTTGCGAAAACAACAACCACGCTTCGAAACAGGTTCTACGGTTTTCTCTCGAGAGGTTTAGCACCAAGCGCTTAAGGTAATTTTCGGCTTAAGAAGGGGGCTAAATAGGGGGGAGGTTAGAAGGGGGGCTGGTTAGGTTAGAGGTTAGCAGTTGCAAATTGTAAAAAGTGGGGAGACGTTAAAGTAACTATCAATCTATATCGTCGATTTAGTTACATTATAATCTTACACGCTTGAAATACAGAGAGAGGATATCCAAATTTAAGATCGAATTAAGGTAGGTACCCTGGTCGGATCGGGTGGGGGGAACGGAGATAGACAGTTTAGAGGGTTAAGAGGGGGGAGAAAAAAGCGTGATAATTAGGTATCAGACATTTTTTCCACGAAAGGACGACATTGTTCACCTCTGATTTTAGTTGGGTTCATCTCTCTGTTTTTATAATTTTTTCTCGTTAGTGTTTTTACGTTTTCGATACGAAATTTATCGGTTTTTGAACAAACAGGTGATCACAACACATCGGCGAACAAGTTGAATTTCAACTTGCATCAGATTATTAAAGGGAGATAAATACAGGGGGGTTAGCATTTGAAATTTTTGGCCAGTAAGGTTGGGTTTTGGGGAAATTTTTATACTAGAGTTCAAGTGGTGGTACCAGGGATAGTGGTTCAAGAGTCCCAACAACGAAGAAGAAGAAATCAGTTTGTCCCAACACTAAGGACGAAGGGGTCTTGGGACAGTGTGTGTTCCAACACTGAAGTGACGGAGTCCTGGGACAGTACGAAGAAGTCTTGGGACGGTAACAAAAAGTCTGAGGACAGTGCCGGAAAGGTCTTGGGACAGTACCAGGAAGTCTTGGGACAGAGTGGAAAAGTCTTGGGACAGTACCGGGAAGTCTTGGGACAGAGTGGAAAAGTCTTGGGATAGTACCAAGAAGTCTTGGGAAAGTGCGGAAAAGTCTTGGGACAGTACCAGGAAGTCTTGCGACAGAGCAGGAAAGTCTTGGGACTCTACCGAAAAATCTTGGGACAGAGCGGAAAAGTCTTGGGACAGTACCAGGAAGTCTTGGGACAGAATGGAAAATACTTGGGACAGCAGCAAGAAGTCTTGAGACAGTACAGAAAATCTTGGGACAGTGCCGAAAAGTCTTGAGACAGTACAGAAAAGTCTTGGGACAGTTACCAAGAAGTCTTGGGATGAGCGGAAAAGTCTTGGGACAGTTGCAAGCAGTGATTGCTGGAACAAAAAAGTTGGGGCACGGCCAGCAATTCTATTCTGTTGACATGTTGCAGAAAGTCCCGGAAGACAACGAGATGGGTGAACAGGATCAGGAAGCGATGGAGTGAGGAGTGAAGACGAGACACGGAGCGGAAGTGAAGAGAAATGAAAAACCTAACTGTTGTAGTGTGCGAAAACTTCAACAAATCGACTAGGATTGATTATTGAAACTTTTAGACTCTTTAATTTGTTGATGTCTGGCCAAACCAGACTTTGCAATTGTTAGGAATTGTTTTTACAATTGTTAAATTGCAATGATAAGTTTTAGCTTATTGCTATCTACTTATGCAGGACTTAGTTGAGTATATTAACCTATTTAAAAATGACTGAAACACTTAACCTGTGTAGGACACATGTTCACTTTGTGGCGACCTGGTAGGAATTGGATACGCTCGTTCGAGGAGGGAGGTTGCCTCATTACCTTTCCTAGCCACAGAGTTTCTTAGCTTTAATATTGAGGGCAACAACACAAATAAACGATTATACTTTGTGAGCAACACTACGTTAGTTTTAACGGGTGTATGGCCGTGCCACTTCCCAAACCTTTTCAAATCAGCATGTACAAAACCTATTTCATGATGACATGACATAAGTAGTCAGAAAATAAACTTTATCTAGGTCACTCATCCTGGTGAAAATTTTGTGAAAAAATTAAAGGCAGTGAAATGTAGTATGATGCCATTTATGACACGCGGCGAAATGTGTGACGAAAAAAATTTCAATTTCTAATGCGATGAGTGAATTGATTATAGAAAACTGAACCCCCACTTGAAAAAAACCCGGAGTTATGCCTTCAATGGGGACATTGAAGCGACTATCCGGGGAGTATGGGCCATGCCCCCGGATTGGCACAGTCGAACCCTCCGTGAGAATGAAAAAGATATTATCGACGTTAGCATCGAATTCGTTACGAAACGGAGGGGAGGATTATTCTAGAATTTTGAGTTTTCAAATTTTCGATTGGAAGTGGAATATTTCTCAGAAATGTAAAAACGGCCCGTTTGACCAAAAAGGAGAACAAAGAACACACATCCGAACTAACACGACATAAAAAAGTCGTGGGAAAATCGAGAAAGATAACGGAGCCTCTTATCGTGACGACCAGACCTGATAAGACGCTTAGCTGAAATGGATCAGAAGAAAAAAGTCTAGTGGGAAATCTGGAGCGGATCTGTACCCTCCCGTACCACGAGATAACGAGGGAATACGGAATTAGAGGGAAGACGGAATTGACGCCCCGGTGCCCAGAGACTGTGGTTTAACTGTGAGGCTATCAAACGTACTTTTTTAGCTGCTGTAATGCCTTGAAGTTTTTAATTAACTCCGGTTATATAAATAAAGGTTAGCATAATATAATACATCAATAAACAATTTTGCAGGAATCAAGTCAAGTCAGCATTTAATGCAGTGTCATTAAAGGTATTTACTTCAACCGCCCCTCTTCTATAATAGCAATAATTGATCTGTTGAACTAGGTTCTTAAAACAAGAGAACGAGCGACTGAAAAACTTTTAATTTAACATGATCGACAGGTCTCGCGTATTAAATTACGCTACGTTTGCATCCAAAAATGATTTTTATTAAATTCGTCTATTTTAAAAACTCGCAAATAGGTTGTTGTAGATAATTTCTCATACCGAATTGTTATCATCATCCAGTTCAAAAAAAAACAATACTGCTCGTTTACTTTAATAAAAATGATTAAAAAGCATGATTAAAAAGCATTTTCTTAACATTAGTCGTCATGACCATATAATTAAAAAAACAATTATTAAAGAATTTTGACCATGGACTAACGGTTTTAGAGCGCCGAGTCTTAACTAATTTGTTAAAGAAGATTAAAGAAGCATTGGAAAGCTACTGAAATTGATATGTACAAGATCTAACGGGGAAAAGAAGACTTGAAGGAAATGACTGTAAGAAAGAAAAAAACTTGCAGCCATCATACACTTGACTTAAACAATTTGGTCACCAAGCACAGATATCGGTCTCTATGTACTTTTCTAAGATGAAATTCCATTATAGCTCCGTTTATTAACTTTGGTAGTCCAAAATCTAACTTTTGTAGCAATTTTTGTAGTCAAAACTCTAAAGTATCAAGTTTTATCTTTAATGAATCAGATCAGAAAGTATGATGTTAACCGAAGTCAATTCATT